GAGAAAATATGAAAAAAGGAGTCTGTGAGCTGTAGAGGCACATAATGGAGACTACTTGTGACTGTCCACATTTGAGCATGTACCATCTGCTTTGCCTGTCGTCGAATATGGCTGCCTCCAAGCCAACTCTAATCTGGAAGCCATGTAAACACAAGATGGTCAAACTAAACATCTATGAACCCTGTGTCTTGGCTTCAGCACTGCTCAGAAAGATATATCTAGCCCTAGCATGAGTGCTTTTTTCTCTTTATATGTTGTCCTGGTTTGAGCCCAGAGGGCAACTAAGCACCACGCAGCCACTTGCTCACTCCTTTCCCCTCAGGAATGGGAAGGAGGAAATAAAACAAAAGCCTCAGGAATCAAAATAAGTACAGGGAGGGATGACTCACCCATTAAATTAATTTGCAAAAGACAGACTTGTTAGGGGAAGAAAAAGAAGATCAATTCAATTTAAATACCACCACTACCACCATTTCATTTAACAGAGTAGAACAGTGAAAAGTATAACCACATCTTAAAAGCACCTTTTCCCTACCCCTCCCTTCTTTCCTGGCTCAGCTTTGCTCTGTATTTCTCTACCTCCTTTCCCCAGCAGTGCAGGAGGCAGGGAATAGGAGGTATGGTCAGTTCATCACCCGTTGTTTCTGCTGCTTCTTCCTCCTCAGGGGGAGACTCCTTGCACTCTTCCCCTGCTCCTGTCCAGAGGCAGTCCTCCATGAACTTTTCTCTGACATGAGTCCTTCCTATGGACTGCAGCGCTTCCTGAACTGCTCCAGCATGGGTCTCTGCCGTGGTTCACAGTCCTCTCAGTGATGGACTGTTATGGTGTGGGTTTCCCTCAGAGTCCTGGTGTTCTTCGGGTACAGCCACCTTCTCTGGCGTGGGGCCCTCCATGGGCTGCAGGTCAGCGTCTGCTCCACTGCAGACCTCGATGGGCTGCAGGGGCACAGCTTGCCCTCTCACTGCGGGCTGCAGGGGAGTCTCTGCTCTGATGCACCTTCTGCCCTCCTCATCCTTCTTTCTTCCACTGACCTCAGTATTTGTACAGGTGTCTCCCTCACAACCCCTCCATCTTCCAATTTCCCCTTCTTAACTATGTTATCACAGAGGTGCACCCACCATTGCTAATTGGCTCAACTTTGGCCAGAGGTGGGTCCAGCTTGGGAGCTGGGGGAGCTTCAAGAAGCTTCTCACAGGAACCCCCTCTGTAGCGCCCTCCCCTGCTACCAAAAACCCCTGCCACACACACAAACCCAGCACACACATCCTTGTAGTCTCTAGCAAGAGACTCAGCTGTGATTTCATTTGACTGTTTGTGAGGTAAATTCAATATATCCTGCCTCTCAGGGCTTAGTTGAAGGACAGGAGATACCATATTAGTCCAGAATCACACAGATGTTAAACCAGTTATTTACATCTAACAACTTTGGAGAACAGCCTGCACAGACACAGCTCTCCAAAACTGTCCTTCTAGACAACTTGTTTTTTACGAGATTGTGTTACCTCCAGTCTCCTATACATGCTCCTCGTCAGGATCATGGTGTAAGATAAGACTAAGAGGTTCTCAAAACACAGCAGATCAAGATCTACTGGAAGAAAGAGTTATGCTGAAGAGGGAAGTACAAGAGTATTTTTTTGTGCTGAGATTTTCAATAGAAACAAAGATAGGACTTCAGGTCTTAATCTGTTTCTGAGTTGGGGTTTCCATGTTACAGGTTCAGAGTAATGAAGCTTGCATAGATACTTAAGTAGAAAACATTACAAACTGACAATCTTTATCAAGAGATACTTAGTCATACTATCTCAGATCTTTAAAAATTGTTTTTTTTTTTCAGCACATAAGAACTATTATGTCTAAATGGTGTTAAGTAGATCTTGAACAAAATGGACACAGAAGTTGCTGTCCTGCTTTATATTTCCCCAGACGCAAGGAAAGTACAAGTCAATATGTCAGATATGTTGTAGCTGTTATTTATATAGAATGAATCTTGAGATTGTGATGGATAGGGTTGTTACAGATGTTTTGGCCTAGTGGTGTGGTTAGTCATGAATGCTGAGAGGGAAAGCTAAGGTTTCTCATACCTGTAATGAAAAACTGATACTCTGTTTTAAGCTGGTATTCACAGAGGCTTATGTAAAAATAATTAAATCAGTCTACATGCACTCTTGGATTGTTGAGGGTTTTTTTTTCTGCAAGTCAGGGTGTAAGCACGCATTGCAAAAAGCATGTTCAAATTCGTGAGGTTCAAATTCGAATTTTTGGTGGTTTTATCTGTGTTCCTCAGTGTGCATGCTTTAGTTGTAACAGGAGAAGTTGTAAGGAAGCTGCAGTTTGTTGCGTGTTGCTGTTCCTTTTACATGAAGAAATTGTGATCAAATACTGCAGGTCTGCTTCTCTGAGAACTTGATGCACTGGTTCTCTTGTTGCAGGGGATCTCTTGCTCTGATCTCCCCTTCAGGGTCTGTGAAACCAATGTGCAGCTCCTTTTGTCTGAGCACAGTAATAACAGGACTCCTGGAAAGTTGGGGGTTTTTTGGTGGTGGTGTGGGCTTTTTTCCACAGTGAACAAACTTGTATGTCATTGTGCTGACACAGAGGATACTGTTTGGTTCTGTCTTGACAATTAGATAGGCTTGCATTTTTCAAACACGTCCTTCTTGACTGATTTTGATGGTGATTTGTCAGTTATGAGGAAGCCAATATGTTGTCTTTGTTTGTTTTCCTTCATTGATGATTGTGAGAAAAAATCAAATCGAAGTTGGGCCTTAAAGTAGAACTATTTGGGTATGTTCAGCGCTGGATAATCTCTTTCCATGTCTGAATTATGGCTTAATTTTTTGAACTTAAATTTTTTTGAAGAGAAAACTGGACTAGGAGGTTGGAGCAGTAAGGAGTGAACCCTTCAGTTATGTTGCATTGGAGTAGCTTCTACAAATATAAGTAAGCAGGAAGGTACAGTGAGGGCTGGTTTGTTTTTCATTGTGAGATGGACTAGGACTTTGATGCTTAGATCTGTTTCACTGAACAAAAGAAGTTGCTTTCTCCCCGCATTATGACCTCACCATCTCCAAAAAAGAAAAATGTTCCCTGAAACAAACAAGCTGGGGTTTTTTGTTTGTTTTTGTTGTAACCTGGTCTGTGTCAGGTAATTTACCAGTTAGTTTAAGTGCTAATCTGAAGGCTGTGTAAGAGTTTTATTCAGTTCCATTAGGTCCAACTAAACTTTGTAATACAGGGACTATTATCCTGCCAGTTTTGAGGAATTTCTGTTTTATGGAGCAATGCTGACAAAGACAGCACTGTGCAAGCCGTCTCTATAACTGAACACTTTCACACTGCAATTTAGGAGGCGTGCAGTTCAGGAAATTGCTGGCTTCTGCTGGAGCACACTTTTACTGCAAGGAAAATTTTATTCGTCACTCAAGTAATTGGCAGTTTTAATACCTTGTTAGTAATTACTTGATAAACAAACTAATGCATAAAGGCAAGGCTCTATGACCTGTTATCTAACTCAGTCTTATTTGGCCAGTGGAACTGACACATGGTGGTAGTGTTTGTTGTTGTTTTTTATTAAAGTAATTTGTTTCCATTTATTATAAATACTTTCAGCTAAGAGTTAAAAAAATGCAGTGTACCTCAACCAGACAGCCTGAGGAATGAAATACGATACAAGCGCAGTGTTGGAGGGGCTGCAGGATCACTTACCCATTCCCACATGTGGTCAGAAGGCCCATTAATCTAACTTCTGGTTCAGTTTTTAAGTCAGGACTTTTTTGTCTTGAGCAGTAATCCCCCCTCACCCTTTGAATATGTGAGGGTTGTCCATGCTATCCTAAATGTATGGCTTACTATTTGATTCAGAGCAAGTATTTCCAATAAAGGCAAACACCTTCCAGAATCAACATTCTTGTTGATAGTTTTACTGAAATTGCCTTGCCTGCAGTCCCTAGGAGCTGGGGAGAACTCCTAATTTTAATCATTCTTCATACTAGGTACAGAATGTACCACAGCCAGAACTGACTTGAACTTCCCAAGGTAACAAGGATCATTTTGGGTTATATTCGTTTAATTGGTTGTGATCTGTTTTCCCCTATGTGCCATTAGCCCCAAATGAATAACCCTATTAATGTTGCTGATGTGCGTGTATGATTCTGTATATTATGCAACTGGGATGGAAAAACTAGTAGGTTGTGGGGTATGAACATGAAATATGATCGCTGGGGAAAGTACATTCAACTGGAAGTAACAGAAAGGGTGTTCCTTACAGTAAACGAGGATACTCATGTCTTTAAAGAGTTGCAGAGTTTTTGTTGTGGAATTGGTTGTGATGCTTAGATGAAGTCTGGTCAGACATGAGGTCCAGAAGCTCTGTAAGGAGCTTTAATAAGCAGAAATTTTATTCTTTGCTAACTCACTAGAAAAATCTGTAGGATGAAATACTAGGTCTAAATTGAAGATTATAGAAGGTTCTGAGGGGCACACTGTAATCCATCTTTTCTATTCTTAACTTTTTCTGGAAATTCAGTCTGATTTTCATGCTGTAGGAGTTTTCAAAAAAACAAAACCCTGTCTAGCTACTGTGATGCTAATTTGGTTAAAATAGAAAACGTCTCTAATTTTATTACAGTGCTGTGACATACTGTTCAATGCAAATACCAGATATTTTCACTGTTCAGAAATAGATGGTCATAGAGTTTTATATTTTGTTTTAAAAGCTATGAATTGCAGTAATTGGATTATAATGCAACTTCTTAAATCTTCTTTGCTGGGAGTATGTTTTAAGACATGTTGATGAATGCATTTATTTAGAACATTCCAATTTAAGATTTGTGATGCCTAGAAATGAATGTTATGTCTAGATAACTACTTTATTGGTTTTCTTTGACTAGAAATTAATTTCAAGTGGGGGAATTAAGAATTAATTTTTGTTAGTCACGTGGAGCTAACAAGTGTTTACTCTGGAAATTACAGTCTTTTGACTACTGTCCTTAAATTTCAGGACCAATAACAAGATTGCCAACATCTTGCCTGAACATCTGAAGCCATTTCAGAGTCTAGAAACTTTGGACTTGAGCAACAACAACATATCAGAGCTAAAAATATCATCAATTCCATTGTTACCACTCAAGTATTTGTAAGTAAAACTTAGTATTACTTTTTTTCTTTCATACTACTTTCAAAAAAACTTACTTGAAAACTTAGATTGGCAGCCGTTTAAGGTACTAAAACTTCTTTCAATTTGACATGCCTTAAATACTTATTTCTGCTTTCACCTGTTGAGTTTAATGTGCTGATTTGAATACATGAGTTGCAGCAATGAGATGTTTTAGTATTAAAAGTGAGGTCGTTATCTGAGGTGAAACAGATGTGTCTCTTGAGAGAAATAATTATGTAACAAAATGAAATTAAGATCCTGGCTGCACCAGCCTTGAGTTACATGGAGTTTGGTGGACTGTTTTGAATCTACCTTAATCCTCATTTAGTAATACTGCAATGCCAGAGCTATACAGAGTGACAAAAAAATAACGGGGTTGCAATATGCTATCTTCTGCCAGTAATACAGTCCTGCAGAGTAGAGCAAAATGTTGGTGATGAAATACTATTTGACCATAGACTTAGCTGTCGAGCTCTAATTAATATGATAAATGAAATTCCATTTATCAGGGAGTAGGCAGTGCAAGATCTTTGTGTTTTACTACTTGGTATTAAGAATTTATTAAATAACTGTAAATTTAACCTTCTAGACATTGTTTCAACAGGTACATTAACAGTAACCGAATAACCTCCATGGAGCCTGGTACATTTGACAATTTGTCTACCACACTTCAAGTATTGAAGCTGAACAGGAACAAAATCTCAGCAATCCCTCAAAAGATGTTTAAACTTTCCCATCTGCAGCACCTGTAAGTGCAACCTACAATTGACTAATTGTTTTCAGGTTTTCCAAAGCATTGGCAGTGCTTGAACTTTAGCCTTTAATTTAACCAGAGGCAGAGTGAGACAGACACAGAAAACATTACTACTAACTGAAGCTTTGTACTGAACAAAACTAGTCATATATTGGCAAAATATGAATAATCTTTGTGTTTAAAATCATGTTTGCCTATTAAAAGAAAAAAAGGCTGATGAAAGGGTAATAGCAGTATTCCTGTAAGAAAGCACTGGAAAAATACGAAGTAAAGTTATATAGTTCACTCCAGTGAGTAGTCTCTTGCTTATTTTGTGCTTTCATGATGAAATGAAGGGAATTATTTTGCTTTCAGAAGGTATAACAATAAGCAACATGCTTGAACAAATAGACCTCCAACAGCTTCACTGATACAATGTTGTCTATAAATGTTTTACTGAATAAATAATAGAAAAGTTATTTAATATGGATGAGGCTGGAGAAAGATATTTTTTTGTTGGTGTTGGTTTGGTTTTTTTTTTTGTTTTTTTGTTTTTTTTTTGTTTTGTTTTGTTTTTGAAACTTAGAGTGCAGGAATTTGAGAAGAGGATGGACTGGCACTGCACTTTGTCAAATCCTGAATAATTATTTTCTGTATTGGATAGTTAAGAGTTAAAAAATATGAGCTCGCTTAGGTTAATCTTGAAAGTGAAAGGTTATAAGAACAGTGAGGTGTTAGGATGCTTGATACATCTGGAAACAGTGACTGTCTTTTCTGTGTACAAATTCAGGAAGAGATTGACTCAAGCCTCAGCAGAAAAGTGTGAGAGCAGCCCTGCAAAGCTCAGGATTTGTTAATGATCTTAGTAGACTTTCTGATTTTCAGATGCAACTGATATTTTGGAAGTCGGTGATATTCTTGTCTAAAAATAGTTCTACTTACATTTTAATTGGTAGGCTGACCTAGTTAAGTTAGGTAGCTAATCTGTAATGAAGGCCAAAAATTTGTGTTATGACCTCAAAGAAGTATTCAGAAGAGGAGTGGGGAAGAACTGAAGGCTATCCTTACTGAAAATTCTTCACTGCTTATGCACATTTAAACACAGGAGGAGGAAGGGTTCTCTGTTGGGTATCTGTTATCAGGTAGGGTTTGTGTCAAGCTGCCACAGAGGAAAGCTGAATTCTTACAAGATTTACCAGACCATTCTTACAAGACTGAGAATCTTAAAAATAATTCTGGTGTGACTATGGAGAGAGAATTATTTAGGCCTTTACTTCCCATGGGGAAGTAAATTTTGGAAGTAGGGGGTTCTTGGTTTGGTAGGATGCAGGTTGATACATCTAAGACCTTCTTGAAGGGCAAATGATCACTAATTGTTGTATGAGGGCCTTTTCTTAGTATTGTCTAATGCTGTCTCTTTATATAATTTAGCAAATGATGGCTAGTTTAAAGTTCATTGTTATAAAAACAGTTAACATTGTTCTTTGTGCCTGTGAGAGGCTAGACTTCCCTTTTCACTGAGCTCAGAAAGTCAGAAAGCTGCTTGGGGTTGGTACCTGGTTTAGAGTTATAAAGGACCAAAGCCAAGAAAGTGTTACGGAGAGAAGTGAAATAGAAAATATTGAGTACTGCTGTCACTGCAGCTTGATCTTCAGCTTTATAACTCCCTTCCAGGATACGCACATGTTGCAGCTTCTGACCTACAGGGGGTGTGTTTAGTGGCAGAAGGGTGAATGCTAAAATTGCTTTAGAAGGAGGGAAGGAACTACTCATAACTAGTTACGGAGAATGAGGGAGAAATGTGTAATGAAAGCTTGGCTCCAGATTAAGGCAGACAGGGATCACCCAGGATATTTAATTTTGCCTAGTTATCACAACTAAAACTTTTACCTTTTTCTTTTTGATTGATTATTGTTTGCAGTTATAAGCTAAACTTAACACCTCTACTGCTGGATATAAACACTAGGAACTTGCCTTAAATTTTGAATTTGCAAACAGGATTAACCATGCATTCTAGGTTACAAGGATTCTTTAAATCTGAATATTGAGGAACTAGCAAGTACTTACCTTCAGTATCGGAAAGGCAGAACAGTATTAGTAGCATGGTTAAACATAATGTATTACAGTAAAATGTTTGAAGTTTGCTACATCTTTTATGTGCAAGAAGAGCATTCAATAAGGTTTGTTTCCAGAGGGAAGAAATGTTTTTGGCATGCAGGTGAACTTACTCTGCTGTAACTGAATTTTATTGATGCAGGGAGCTGAATCGCAACAAAATTAAAAAAATAGATGGGCTGACTTTCCAAGGTCTTCCAGCTTTGAAATCATTAAAACTGCAGAGAAATGGTGTTACTAGGCTCATGGATGGCGCTTTCTGGGGATTGACCAACATGGAAGTCTTGTAAGTATCAACTTTTTGCTAATAGATTCTGCTCTTAACACATTAAGTAGAATTGCACAAAATGAATAAATTGCTTGATAAAGTTTAAAGATGTTTTTGAATTAAATTGTTCTAGTGTGGTTTGAAAAGCAGCAGGTATTCACCAAATGTGTAGGACAGCACATTCTGCATGCATGCATACAACTCTTTAAGTGTCAATAGAGGGTGCAGCTATCCAGCCAGTATCATGAAGTCAGATGTGGACACATGGCAAAAGCATGGACGCTGCTGAGTTTCTGAACCTTGTGTCTTTTATCTGTTCATATGTGTTTGTGTGTGTTTGTAGGCAGCTAGACCATAACAACTTAACAGAGGTAACCAAAGGCTGGCTTTATGGCTTGCTGATGCTGCAGCAACTCCATCTCAGCCAAAATGCCATCAGCAGGATCAGTCCTGATGCCTGGGAATTTTGCCAAAAACTCAGTGAGCTGTGAGTAGCTTTTATTCTATTCCAGTTTTGAAAGCCGGGTACATGCCAAAGCATGAGATTCTTACCACTGATCTGTGAATTTCTCATAACAAAGTTTCCAAGGTGACAACAACTTTTTTGTATGTGAGACAGTTATATTTTGTTGAAAGAACTTGAAGGCAACCATTTCACTGTGGCAGCTGAGCTAAAGCTGTAACACAGTTATTTTCAAATAAAAAAAAAAATCATTCTGCAATAATTTGTGAATTGTTAGAAATGATACACAAGCTGTGTGATCAGAAATGGTATAGTATTTGTATGGGAAAAAATTTTCTCCTTGCCCTGAAAGTTCACCTGGATTGAACTGAGTAATAAGCACTGCAGCATAAACATTAAAACATACTTTTTCCTTGAATTTGCAGAGATTTGACGTTCAATCGCTTAGCAAGGTTAGATGATTCAAGCTTCGTTGGTTTAAGTGTGCTGGTTGGACTGTACATTGGAAACAACAAAGTAAATTACATTGCTGATTGTGCCTTCCGGGGACTTTCCAGTCTACAGACTTTGTAAGTTGACAAACTCCAATTTTTTAAGGTCAGAAACCTTAAGAAAAACTCTCAGTGTTTATAGATTTATTTTTTTTTCTTTTTCCTTATGAAATATACAAGAACGTTTTGTTAACTTTCTCAGATCAGCATGTGTTTTTCTTACAGTAGGGTTTTTTTCAGAATAGTTAGGAGAGGGAGGACTTCCCCTTTAGTTAAGGCTGTGCACAATAGAGTTGGTAATTATGATATGAACTTTCAATATCATTATTATGGGAAAGGCATGTCTCCATTTGAAGGCAGCAAGCAGCACTGCTACTCACAGCTTTAGGGATTTGGATCATAGTTTTGTCTTAAGTGAATCAACATTTTCCCTCATGGTAGAAATAAGAAGACAAAATTCAAAACTGTATTACTATGGATTCTGATGCTTGTTGTGACTGGGCAGTTGCTTTAAGCTTTTGAGCATTTTTTTGAACTAGCATTTCTTAAAGAAAGAGGAAGAAAGAAATAAACTAATCTAAACACATTCCATTTCATTAAAGTCTTCCAGTTGTGTACCATTGACCCATCTGTTAGTTGGATGAATGAAATGGCTGTCTTTCCCTTTAGGCTTTAAAAAGGGTGCTAACATTGCATTCAGGGGTTTGCTCACATATTTACACTTGGGCATCTAGCAAAGATGCAATTCAGAGGTGTGTATGCTATATTTTTAAAGTATATAGATAGTAAAGAGAGGAAGTCAGAGATGTGAGCTGTTTAGGAATTAAGTATTAGAATTCTTCTCCTAGATTTTGGCTTTTTTTTTTTTTTTCTCCTCTAGCCCTACCCTGCTGATGCTTTGTTGACACACTGTCCTTTTCACAAATCTCTTAAGCTCTTTATGCTTCACAGATAATTAAGCTAGTGTTATGGAAGTTGTAAGATGTAAAAATGAGTCAATTAATAAATTTCTTTGTGTTCTCTGTGTGTTAATATTATGACCTTACAAAGGCACGAGTGTATTTTGTTTTGAAGGGGCAATAATCGATCCCTTCCCTTCCTCTGACGTTCCTTCTCATATGATAGTCCTATATCTGAATATCCTTGTAGAGGAATGTGGGTTTGTTTTCTAATGATTCTTAAAATTAAGTTTGTGGTCTTTTTAATTATCAGTGGAAAAAGTACTAACAGTCTTGAAAGTCTCTCAGTTAAAATTGAAATAAAATAGCTAATCAAGAAAAGCTTCTCTTAAAAAAACCAAACAAAACCCCAAACAAAAAACAACCTACCAGAAGGTTGTTTTAGAAATGGTTTTAAATAATAGATGCTGTTGAAGAAGTATATACCCTGTTCTTTTTAATAGCTCTTGTGGTTTGATTTCCCCTCACCCCTTAAACAGGGATCTGAAGAACAATGAAATATCATGGACTATTGAAGATATGAATGGTGCATTCTCTGGCCTAGATAAACTTAGGAAGCTGTAAGTATTGCTACAATATTTGTGCCTCAACATCTCTTAAAAAATTAGCTTAGATTACGTATGTTTCAAGGGACACGTCCAACACTTAGTGATGTTACGTTTTCCATAGCTTAGATGACTTTTTTTTTTCTTCCTAGAGAACCATTTTGTTCTCTATAAAATATGCTTTTTCTATAAAAGCAATCCATGATTTTTCAAGTCTAATCTGAAATTTAAATATTACTACTATTTATGGAAACATTTCTCAAAGAATAAGGGCTTCCTATAATAGGAACTAGCAAGTGCATTATATGACAAAGGCATAGTGACAGGGATAGTCTTTGATAAAGTAATGCAGCATCCAATGGAAGTGTCTTTGTTGCATTGAAATTTTCAGAGGCACATATAAGAAATAAAAAGATGCTCATGTGTATACATTTAGAATAATCCGTGTCACTGAACTGTACAAATCAAGCATCTTCTAAAAGCATTCTAACATCTAGACATTTAATCAAGGGATATGAATCTTTTAGAAGTGAGACATTTTTCTGCATTGGGAAAGGTTGAATGATGAATAGTAAGTCACAGTTTAGAAATAAATGCCCAAATTGCAATTGTTAAGCTTAAAAAATGCTTTCATTTTATTGCATCCTTTTGCATCTTGTACTTATATTTTTTAGGATACTCCAAGGAAACAGGATTAGATCCATTACGAAGAAAGCATTTTCTGGTTTGGATGCACTTGAACACCTGTAAGTACTAAAAATTCACATGTAACCCAACATTGAAATAAATAGGACTAACAAGCTTTACTTATGACTTTGAATGCAATGCATTTATCCTGGTTGCCAATGTGATCTTGAGAATGTTCTTTTATTTTGGAGTTATGCTGATTATGAATTTTGGAATTAGTGCAGAGAGTGTTACATATTAAGCATGATATAAAACTCCTTAATCCTGTCTCTATAGTTTTTAGATAGGGAATCCTTTGTCTATCACCAAGGTAGCAAACTATTCCTTGAGTCTTCAACACATTCAATTTAATAAATTACTCTTTCCTCCTCTAATGTTGTTTTTCTTTTTTTTCTTCCTAGAGATCTAAGTAACAATGCAATTATGTCAGTTCAAGGAAATGCATTTTCACAAATGAAGAAACTCAAGGAATTGTAAGTTTCTATCTAAAGACATTGCCTCTGATAAATACTTATATCTGTATAAATACATAAAGTAAAACCTTGTAAGACTGCCTGATGCAGTGATAAACTCCCACTGTAATCTCTCTGAAGTCATGTAAAAAGCGTATGTCAATGTTTTGGGGTTTTTTTATTTTCTATGTAATGACTGTATTTAAGTGAGATAGTGTAGGATAGGAGGTGTTCATTTTCTGCTGCATTTGGTGTATAGAGTCCTTATTTTAAATTGGCTGATCTCTAATAGCTATTAGATAAGGGAGATTTTCATGTAATGTGCCATAAGATCAGTAGTGCTATCACTGAGCTAAAGCCTACCCGACCAGTGAAGTGCAGTGCTGTAATTCTTTTGTAAAGACCTGGTTGTCAGGGCTTGTAATTGGGTCCTTCTATCCTGTAGTAGCAAAGGGGCAGATCTTCAAAAGTCATGAAGCAGTCACTGGGAAGAGTGTTTTTTTCTAGTTAGTTTTGGGTGGGTTTTTTTTGTCCTGTTACCCTCTTTTTATGTTGATCAATGCAGAAAAACACTGTCACCGTTCCCTGTGTTTGTTTTGAGCATGGCTAATTCTTCCTCTTGCATATATCTTATGTCTCCTCTGTTCATTTCAGCCTTCTCTAGTCAGATCTGTTGTCCTGAGCTGCTCTGTGGATAATCTGTCGAAAAACTAAAGATGCTTTTCTCATGATGGGTAGAAACTGCCTGAAGCTTGTCTGGAGCTTTTAAGTTGTGTTCTCCAGACTCCTATCAAGTATAACCCTAGCAGCTGGCTCTCTACTTCATCTTATGGTATTACTCCATGTTGGGTGCCATAGAGAAAGTAATGAGGAGCTTTGTGCACTTCATAGAATCATAGAACAGCCCAATTTGGAAGTGACCTCAAAAGGTCATCTGATCCAACCTTTTTTTCCACAGGAAAGGGAGTCTAGGTGAGATTATTTAGCACCCTGTCCAGTTGTATCTTGAAAACCTCCAGTGCTGGAGATTACATGTCCCTGGGGAGGTTGTTCCAGTGTATGACTATTCACAGTGTAAAATATTTCTTTCTTGTATCTAGACAATATTTAGTTCCTTCAGAGTTCAGTTTGATGTTACTCATATCCTGGTGTAGCTGCAGTTGCTCTAGAAAGTGGCAGCCAAGCCTTCTACCCACAGCCAGGGTTTTTCTGCCTTCTTCCTTGAGTTCAGCCTGGTTTTGTTGCTTGATTAGTTTGCTGAACTCAGGCAGCTGCAGGGCAATTGCTAGATTTGACACAAGAGAAGCAGTGGAAGCACAGTGCTGACAATTAGGGATTGATATAGATGATTTGAATCGTGATCAAATGTGATAGAATGACAGGCTAACACTGCTTCAGGAGGTGTAAGATGTTACAAGATACAAGACTGAACACCTCAATGAAATAACTATTCAAGATTTGTTGGGGTGTTTTTCTGTACTTTTCTTGAAACACCTGGTAGACATTCGTTATGTCTGAGGAAGATGTCGACAGATGCTAGAAAGTACTTTCCCAGAAGTAAGATTATTTAGAATAAATTCCGATCTAGTAGTTTTATTCTGAGGCCCCTGGAGAGTAAATCTGAAAATAATATGACAGATAGCCATTGCATCAGGATAGCAAAAAACGCTGTGGTTTCTCTGCCTCCTAAGAATATCAAGAATGCCCCTAGAACTTCACTGAAAGATGACCCGATTCATCTCAATGTGAACTGGTGAGCTGGCATCCCTAGGTTTTATCCATGCAGCGTTAGTGTGAAAAAAGAGCACAGAGGCACTGTCTTGATATTCTTCAAGAAAAAATCTGGAATTAGTATGTCTCAGTTTATCTTTAAAGCTGTCTTCTCTCCCATGATCCATAAATTATTTTTGCTTTTCCTCCCAAGAACAGGTAAGGTTTGAAGAGAGGAATTTTATTAGGTTTTAGTACGATTTTTTTAAAAAGGGTGATTCTCGGTTTTCAGCCAAAACTGAAAAGTCTTCCTAATTCAACTCCTGATTCTAGATGCTTCACAGAATATGCCTTTGCTTTCTTAATTTTTTTTCCCCTTCTGTGAGTGTAGCTATTTACATAGGTTATGTAAGCTTGATAGCCAGTTCTGAAGTTATTTTAACACGTCTTCTTCGTCTCTCCACTCTCCTTTTTAAATATCTTCCCCAAGATAAATTCTGACTGAGATGGAAATGAGGGAATGAAATTGTTTCAGAATTTTTTTGATGTTAGGTTCCAGAGCACCTCCTTCTTGGACTGTTCTCTTACATCTCCATTCTGTGTGTCCTACTGCTGACTGTAATTTTGTACCCAGGACACTACAAACGTGCCAGAGTGCCTGGACTCATGTTAGTAGCAGAAGCTGGGAGTTCAGGATAACATGTCTGCTTTGTTGAATATAGGAGTCATGACCGTGGTGTCACCACATCTGAGCTAAATAATACTGCTGTCTTTCTCTTGTAATATATGTATTTAGCCTAAAAAATTAGTTTTGTTACTGGTGTGTGCTCATACAATCTGTATTACAAATGGAGAAAACCAAGCAAACAGGCATTGAATGTAATTGCTTTTTTCTTAGGCACTTAAACACATCAAGTCTCTTATGTGATTGCCAGTTAAAATGGCTACCACAGTGGATGTCAGAGAACAACTTTCAAAGCTTTGTAAATGCCAGTTGTGCCCATCCTCAGCTTCTAAAGGGGAGAAGTATTTTTGCTGTCAGCCTGGATGGGTTTGTCTGTGGTGAGTATAGCCTCTATTTCTCATTCCATAGAACAAATTTTCCTGAATGCATTGATTTTTGTTGTGGTTTCTTTGACAAGTTTTTGCTAATAAAATGGGGAGGATTTAATATCTGTTAACATTTCCTTCTCTGTTCCCAAACTATGATGTAAATGCTTAAAGCTTGTGGCTTTGTATAAGATGGGGAGTGAGTTTTCTGACTCTTACTTCACATACAGCTTGCTTTTACATAGTACATAGCATAGCGTGCAAAGGAAAGCTCAATAGTTTGTGGTGGTAAATGCATATGCCTCTAGATCTAAAAGATGGATATTGTTTAGGTAATTATGATTTATAAGTGAGACATATTTTGGCAAACTTAAGATGCAGTTTTTGGTTTTGATTATTTGTAAATTATTTTCATACTTCATCAGTCTTGAGATTATTCCAGAGCTGAGAAAATTTGAAGGTTAAAATAGCCATACTGGCCTCAGCTCTGACCTATTTTATGTGTGCTTGTTGTCTCCTTTAAAAATTATTTGGACCATGAAAGTTATTGCCTGTATGTAAACTGTATTTTAAAGCATCAGATTACCACAGTTACGCTACTGATATTTTGTATTTCACTATGCCAGATAGTAAATGCTAGTAAAATATTTTTACTTAAGACTTGAAAATTTGAGATGATAGCATCTGCCTTAAAAATGAAATTTGTCTTATGTATGTTTGGTAGCATTATCACCTATATGTTATGTTCTCTGTTTAAAGCAAAGTGAAGCTAAGCAGAATAAGCATGTGTGTTTGAGTACTCTGTTAAATTAAGTGGGAACTTTGAAAATATCAGGAAATTAAAAGCTAGCTGGATTTCATGTATCTTTGTTGTATATATTTTATTTTTCTTACTAAAGGAAATTCAGAGTTTATTTTCTTTGGAGATAAATCAGTAACCATATTTGTCTTCTCAATAACTGTCATAGCAAATATGACTGCTTAATTTTTACTGTTGCCATCATACCCTTTTTTTTCAGTGGGAAAGCAGACGCAGAATATAAAACAGTACAAAAATGTTTTCTGCTTTCCTATTAGCAGTCAAATGTTTAATGTATTAATTAATGAGTAGATGGTGCATAATCTAGGTTTTGTAAAGGAGAAGTTGACATAGTGCAGAAAATTGCCGATTACTCAATGGTTAATGGAATACATATGAAGTGTACATCCTTATTTATGAGAAAGTCATTCTGGCAAGAAATTAACTTGGTGTATTTGGATATATATCTCTATTTGTTAAACCACAGGGGATTGTGATCTTTCTTTTAGCTGCTGAATGCCATTTTAAATGAATTCATTTCAAACCCTTTAAAGATATGTTAGCAAAAAGGGATGTACTAAGAGTAAACTATTTAATGTGTAAAGTAATTGTCATGTGGAAGTAACTAGAATCTCTTAATACAATCAGTGAGTGTTTCACTGTTTATTGAATCTTTAAAGTGTGCCATCACTAGATGTTTGGGTGTACACACCTTGCCTTATAAGTTTACAATGGCCACCTTTGCTTTTATAGAATTTTCAAGAGGAATGTGTTAAGTCCTGTCTGAAATAATTTATGAGTGTATAAATCCTCCAAATTGAGCCGTTACATTTTTAAAAACAGGTAGGAGGGAGTCATCCTAAATTTGTTAAAGAAAAGCATGTGTTAGGCAAGGGTTCCATATCTGTGAAACTTAAAAAATAAAATAAAATAAAATTTTAATAAATAAATTAAAAAATCTTTGTAATTTGTGCTTCCTAAAAGTCTTTCAAGCTGAAACAAATGATGAGATGTTTCTGTACTAAAGATAACTGTGGAAGAAAAAGAAAATAGATGTTATTTTGACAGGTATTAATTACTTCAAGTTAACATAGTGATGCTAAGAGTGCTATATAGGTGATGAATAGCTTGTTTTCTGTTACATAGTGGTCAAGTGGCTTCTATGAAATGAGAAACACATTTCTCAGAGTGTGTGTATATGTGTTTATGTATCTGTGTATATATATGTGTTAGTGCGTTTCTGACATGTATATTCAAATACACTCCCAAATTATTCTGTTCTGAAAAAACACATTGCCAGTTTTATTCTTGAGTGTTCTTCTGTATTCTGTAGTATCTGCTTGAGTGACCTTTTCATTTGCACTTCCTGACAAATAATTAAAATTTTAGTGTATTTTATTATTTCATTGATAGTACAGCTAAACTGAAGTATGTTCTCCTGTCCTATCACAAGTCTAATTTAAGTATTTTGCTTTGTTATCCCTTTGCAAAGTCAGTGAAAGCATCAACTCAGTTTGCAAATGGTATAGTTTGTCGTGAAGAACTTAAGGCATGGGTATGAAGCATGAAAGCCTGGGAGATTCTTAAGGCCCATGCTTAGGGCCCTGGAGTGGAGAATCCATGTTGCCCTGTTGATGGAATACAGCTCCACATTTGCAGGTGTTCGTGGGGGCAGCTCAAGTTCAGGCTATCTGCACATCTCATTTTCTCTAATAACACACAGTGTGGAGGTTCTTCAAGGAAATAATTCTTTGACTGTGGCAAGTTTTTCGCAAACAAATGAGATATAAGGAGGCAAAGGGGCTATGTAAAACCTGACTCTCTGCAGTGCAGGTAGGGTCTGCAGTAAGGAGTATTTGGGTCCCAGGACTCTTCCTGCAGTCCCTGTGAAGTTTGGGCCTGTGTCTTTGTCAGAGGTAGGAGATACCTTGAAACTTGGCAATATTCTAAAGCATTTTGCTTTTGGGAATCAAGACTTGAATTCCTCACTCCTTTTGTACATGCAGTGTACACACAATTGACAGAATAAATACCAGAAGGCAACTAATTCCGCAAACTCATAAAATGGCACTTTGAAGGTAACTTTCCAATAGTTAAGGGACTTCCAGAAACTAATCTCTTGAAATTCTTGTATGCTGCCCTGCTTAAGGGGTCTTCAGCACTGCTGTTTTGGTAAGATGCACCAAACAGCCACAAATCACTGAACAGTGACTTCTGTATATGATTGGGTTTTGTGGATTTGGGGAAAACCCTTGACTTTAACTTGCAGTTTCTGATGGCAGAACAACTATGTTTTCGATTAAAGAAAAACTCACAGTAGCCTGAGGTGTTGTAAAGATGAAGGGTAGGCTTCATGACTGACATTCAGAATAGTTCTAACAGATGTCAGGGGGTAGTTTTCTCCTCTTTAGTGCTGCTGTTGAACAAACAATACACACAGTCTGCTTTTAAATGTGCTTTCTCTTCAATAACCGATGACTTAACACAGTAAACTCATAAATATGGCATCTATAAATGTTCTAAGGCTAACGAAATTTAAAACAAAAGTATTGTGTATCCATTTAATAAATACTTATCTGACTCTTCTCTCAAACCTAAAAACCAAGGCTTACAAACTCTTCTGTAAAGAGTCCTCAGGGCTCACATATTTTTTTCTCTTCCTTAGTGTTACTTTTTCTTTTTCTCCCTTTTCTGTTCTGTGCAGATGATTTTCCTAAACCACAGATCACTGTCCAGCCAGAAACCCAGTCAGCAATCAAAGGCTCCAATTTGAGTTTTGTATGTTCAGCAGCCAGCAGCAGTGATTCCCCAATGACTTTTGCATGGAAGAAAGACAATGAATTACTACAAGATGCTGAAATGGAGAATTATGCACACCTCCGGGCACAGGGCGGTGAAGTGATGGAGTACACTACCATCCTTCGACTGCGCAATGTTGAATTCAGTAATGAAGGGAAATATCAGTGTGTTATTTCAAATCATTTTGGTTCATCCTACTCTATCAAAGCCAAACTTACAGTAAACAGTAAGTATGTTACTTTTTGCTTGTGGACTTAAACTAGAATGATTTTAATCAAGATATGTAAACATAATTCTTTCCATTTTCATCATCTGTGTCTTTTAAAAGATCCCTTAATAAGCAGAGATTATTTCTTAAAATATTTCTCCTTCCAAGATCACCATTCAGTTTTACATTTGGCCCCACTGTGCTGAACCATAGTGTAAGCAAAAACAAGTAACAGACCCAATTAATAGTAAATCTGACAAAACCTATGTAATAAAATGGAAAAACATTAATCTTCACAGGAGGTAAGTGTATACTCTCTTTCAAGGTACTATGGAAAAGTCATGTAGGAGGCTGTTAGCAGAAAGGAGATTTTCATCTAGGCGGTCTCACATACTCCACAGCTGCCTCCCTTTCTCTTGGATACATCCTAAATTTATCAGTAGCCTTCTCCAGTGTTTTTAGGCCTAAGAAGAGTGTTAAGAAAACGCTGTGCAAAAGGGAAAAATTACTTATCATTTATTTATTTTGGTTTTACTAACTTTTCTTTAGTGCTGCCTTCATTTACAAAGATCCCCATGGACTTAACCATTCGAGCTGGAGCAATGGCACGTTTGGAATGTGCTGCAGTTGGGCATCCTGTCCCACAGATTGCTTGGCAGAAAGACGGTGGAACAGATTTTCCTGCAGCACGCAAGAGGCGCATGCATGTCATGCCTGAAGATGATGTATTCTTTATTGTTGATGTAAAGATCGAGGACACAGGCATTTATAGCTGTACAGCACAAAACACCGCTGGAAGCATTTCAGCTAACGCAACATTAACAGTACTAGGTAAGACATTGGCAATCCTTCATGGCATAATCTCTTTGAAGAACAGTATTGCTGAACACTTTTAAAAACATCAGTTTCTTATAAAAATAGAAATGTTATAAAAGAGCTGTATAGAAATAAAAATATTTTGAAACAATTTGTATTGATACGTAGCAAAATAATAAAACCTAGTTATGTTTCTCAGTGTGTACACAAAGATATGAGGAGGCTGGGGGGAAGGGGATGTTATTTTTGTTTAGAGACAGGAGATTTTCTTTAACTTTTCAATTTCCTGATGTTTTGTTAACCATCTTTAATCGAGTTCTCTGCAGTCTTGAGTGTGTATGATATGGCCTTCTTACTTTCTGTGGTAATCAAACGTCTAGGTCTGATCAATTGACAAGTAAACTGTAGGCTCTAAATCCAAATTCTTTGAGTGTGTTTTTTTCTGAGAATGAGAGTAAGCTCCATTAGGTCTTACTGATGCATTTAATTAAACTTTTCCTCTTGAGCTGTGAAGGAAAGGGACATGTTCCCATTCTTGTGAGGTCATTTAGAATATAAGGCTTATGCTTTCTTTTCAGAAACACCATCATTTTTGCGGCCTTTGCTGGATCGAACTGTAACAAAAGGTGAAACTGCAGTCTTGCAGTGTATTGCTGGTGGTAGCCCTCCACCCCGACTGAACTGGACTAAGGATGACAGCCCTCTTGTGGTAACGGAAAGACATTTTTTTGCTGCAGGCAATCAGTTACTGATTATTGTGGATACAGATGTAGAAGATGCCGGGAAATACACTTGTGAAATGTCTAATACGCTTGGAACGGAACGAGGCAACATCCGTCTTAATGTAATTCCTACTCCCACCTGTGATTCTCCTCAAAACATTGCCCCATCACTTGATGATGATGGATGGGCCACAGTTGGCATTGTGATCATAGCTGTGGTTTGCTGTGTGGTGGGCACTTCCTTGGTGTGGGTGGTCATCATCTACCACACCAGAAGGAGAAATGAAGATTGCAGCATCACAAATACAGGTGTGTAAACTGAACGTTTGCCTTGGAAAAGAAAAAAAATATTTATGGTTGCTTTGCAGTGACTTTAGTGTAGGAACATTTGTGTGCTTTGACTCAGTCAGAAGAGTGAACTACTTGTTGTCTTCAGCACTTTGCTGACACGTTTAAAAATGCTTCTACAAACTCTGAAGTATGCTGATGGCTTCTGTGTGTTTTGCTTCCCCACAGATGAAACAAATTTGCCTGCTGACATACCAAGTTACCTGTCATCCCAAGGGACACTGGCTGAAAGGCAAGATGGATATGGTTTGTCTGAAAATGGCAGTCATCATCAGTTCCTCACATCATCTGTGGGAGGCTGTTTCTTGCAGCAGAGAGATGGTAATGGTAGGTGTAAAATGTTAAGCAGATTTTCCATGTTGGTTGAGTAGCTGTGGTTTCGCTATTGTCTTTCTAACTAATAGAAATAACACTAAAGAAACATCTTCACTGAAGTTTGAGAGGATATGAAATCTATTGCTTGAATAAGATAATAACAGAAACTTTGTTTATCCAAATGATGTTATGGCTTTGCTTAAATTATTAAGTTTTTCTCTAATCTCAAGGGTAAATTTAAACTGATGATCAGATTTCTCAAACAAGAGTGTGCAAAAGGAATTACAACAGCATGTCTTCCTCTGTTATAGCTTGTAGGATGTTTTTAATGCAATGTAAGCATGGGTGGTAATACCAGTGTAACTTTAGTATAATAAAACTGATTAAAGCTTCCTGTTAGAAAAGTCATCGAGGTCAGAGTTAATAAAGGGCTTAAGGTGGCTGCAAGTTAAAAGCTGCAGTACCTAATGTAATGTGTATACATCTGGCCCCTGAGAATCCAGAACATAACTGGGTTAGGGAGGAAAAGCCACCTTGCTGTGAAGAGATTGGGGTCAAGATACAGTCAGGAGTTGGGGCAGGTGGGAATGGAGCAGTGGTGAGATAGTTCTTCAGTTGTAGGGTAGCGAGAGCAGCAGCCTCTTTGTTGGGCAAGAGCAACCAGACCACATCCACAGTTTTCAGGAACCATTGAGCTAAAGGTCAGTATAGCTGTTCAAGCAGACAGTGAGTCCCTGAGATTCTTCCACCCAGTACTTTCTTGTTAACACTCTGTGCTCCATAGGGTGGCTGTGTGACAGAGCATGAGCCTGCTTCCAGTGTGTTGGAGGAAGGAGGTCCCTGGTTCTGATCCCTGTGATTGGGTTTGTCCTTTTATCTAGGGACTGTATAATGAAGCAAAGTGTGACATATTCTCTGTCAAGCTAATGAATTGAACACTTGCTAGAATTAGAGTTCTTATCAAACAGTTAGGTTAAACTTAAGCAAGCTGTACATGCACTACAGAATTTAGTTGAACAGACAGGGTTCTTAAAAAACCAAAACTTACTCAAGAAACTGTAAGCTGAAGCTTAAAAGACCATATGCTGACATGTCAACTTTATTTTTAAGGCATGTGCCATCTAGATAATGGAAGTGAAACAGACTTGGAGGGTGTTGCAGATCCATTCCTATGCCACTATCTGGGGACTTCAGGGACTTCATATTTAAAAGGAAACACATATGGCTCTGAGGCCTTTGAAGCCTACAATGCAAGTAAGTTGGAGGGGAAAAAAGTTTTAGTCCTAATTTGATCTTGTGCTATGACAAATCTGTATAAAAACAATTTTCCATTCTTTTTAGGTTGCAGCCCTGACCAAAGAGCAGCATTCCTGGATCCTTATGAGTCTGGATATTTAAAGAAAAAGGAATGCTATCAATACTCACCTCCACTGGAAGATCCCTTTGACCAGTGTGTTGGCATTATTGGAATGCAGGCTACAAGTAACAAATTGATTAACTCCATTTATACTCAAAATGAAGGAACTGGACTAAAAAGCAAAAGTCTGAACTCAGACACATTTGATTTAAACAGAAGTTTGGAACCCTCATCTATTATCAGTAACAGCACTTTCATGGGTATGTTCTAGCGATTAGTTTTTATTCAACTGCTGGTATCCTTGCTGTCTTGTTTCCTGCTTCTTGACACCAAGCAAAACTGATAGCTTTTTCTTTCCCACTCCTACAACAAGTAACTCTGTAGTAAATGTTTAGATAGTCATACAGTGAAAAAACTAATTGTGAAATTTTGTGTGGGCTTCTTTTTCTGAGTGTCCGTGAATTTAGTAGGATAATACAGCATGTGCAATATAAATACTTCACAAAGGAGGAGAAAAGAGACAGGAAGTAGCTGAGGAAAGGCAGTTTGAGAGTTGTCCTTGATGTTTTGCATGTGTTCCTGTCTCTGTTTTCTTTATCCCTCTTCCTCTCTGAGTAACTTGCAATACTGCAGTATCTATTTTTAAGGCTCACACAACTGAAATGTATACATAGGGTCACTCTCTCTCCACTGCAGTGCATGAGGACAGTTGGATGCTCCATTACTCAGGGTGCCTACTGGGAATTAGCCAGGAGATGGACCCTATCCTCTGTTGCAAAGGGAGCAACTTGGGGCTTGGTGAGAAGCAGAACTGACATACATCAAAGGAGTCCTCAGGTCAAACATGGTAGTCCAGGGAGGTAGTTCACCTCCAGCTGTAACTGTGAGCTCTCTTCTGCTTCTCAGGAAACCTGACTTCTAAGGACCATTAGATACAGTGTCCAAAATACTTGCCATTCAGGAACGGAAAAGTGATTACAGTAAAACTGCGTAATGAGCATATTTACTTTACCAGGAGATTTTAATAGCTTAAAATAACATAAAAATTTCAGCAATGGTGTGATTCTTGTGTTTTATCTTAATATACCTAGAAGATTTCCATGAATGTTAGAGTACTTACTTAAATACACCTTAAAAACTTCAGGCATACCAGAAATTTTGCCTGACGTGCTAAAGGTATGCAGGGTCCCAGGAAGGCTCAGGGCAGGTGGGGAGACTTGAAATCCAGTGTATGAGGAAATAGTGCATAACAGGGTGAGCCAGAACTATTTACCCTTCAAAGGAAAGCGCTGTGGAAAAAATGCCCTCTCTACCCCTCCTTTGTCGTCTTTTCTTACGGTGTGTATGACAAGAGTTCCTGAAGCTTAGTTCAGGGTTTACAATTTTAATCCAAGTTACAGGGAGAGGTGGGGGGAGGGGGGGAAAGCATTGCTTTACCTTTTAAACTCCCTAAATTTTGGGTGTTGATTTGTTTGGTTTAAAACACATATAATCCCACATACTGTTTTCATCCCATGATATCTGAACACCAAGTGTAGCCCTGGTACCATGGATTGTCTCCTGGCTGGTGTGTCAGCATGGTTGATCCAAGGCCTGGGTCTGCTGGCTCTGTGAGGGGACTTGGGGAATGTGCATCACTGGGCTCTTTGTTCTCAGGGGGTGGGGAGGGAGGTACAAGCTCTGAAGTTTTTCCCCTTCTAAAGCCAGATGTTTGGACTATAAAACATTGCAGATGCCATGACATCTGGCAGAGGCCCTGGGACTACACATGGCCTCCTGGCTGCCTGCCACTATTGCTGTGGTGGGACTATTCAGATAGTGCTTTACCACATGTCTCCTGCAGAAAGTAGTTCTACTGTATGTGACTATGCCCAGGAGTTAATACAACCTCGACAGCTCGTATTCCCCTTTCTGCCCTAAAAATCTATGCAGAGCAGCTTCTTTTGTCAGTTCTTTGAGCTACTACCACACCCAAGTTGCATCATTGTGTTGGATGCTTCATAATCATTACTACTCTTGACTCAAAGCACCTATGTTAGACCTGTGAGATGGTGGCTGTGGAAGGAGTCTTAATAGATTTCTTGTGGATTTGCTTCTTCAGCATCATTGTCATCAGATCCAGTTCCCCTTTTGCTTCTAATCACAATGAAGACAGCTGGCATTAACATCACTGTTGATGCATGAGCCAGAAAGTTCACAGCTTGGATTTGTTTTTTTTTTTAAAGACAGGATTAATTTGTAGCTTTGGTATACTATGAGGACCGTCCTCTCATGTTGTGTTAGGAGCAAAATCATTGATGGTGCAAATCATTGGTGCAAATCATTGATGAAAATATGGACATTGTACAAATCCATTTTTAGTAACTTCTCAGATTGCAGTTTTAATTGAAACCTTTGCTTCAAGCCACTAAGCAAAACTAGAAGTATGGCTTTTTGGCTGCCATTTATTAATGATTGTAGCGTTAACTTGTTGATAAAAACTGAGTTCCTCAAAATCAGCCTGTGGCACACTGTCCTCTGAAAACAAATTTTTTGAGTGTCACAGACACTATGACTTGTGGTGGCTGTATCTTTCTTCAGTGAAAAAAGAGAAGGCCCTTCTTGCCAAGGTTTTGACACGCTCACACCTTCCCAATGCTGAAGAGTGATAGGCACAGTAATTATTTTGTGACAAATGAATCCAGATCAACTGAAAAGACAAATTCTCTTTGGCCTAAGCCCATTCGGGGCAAAGAGATGAACAGGTGTGAATGGAGAATATACTGTTGGGACCTTTATTATTAATGGGAGATGCTAGCCAGAAGAAGATTGTTTTAGCATTCAGATTGAACAGTGGGAGGATGTTGTATAACCCTATTGTACATGTTGGGTTTGTTGTGGTGTTTTTTTTAAATTTATTCATGTGCTATTTGTTCACTGAAGAACAAACCAGGGAGACTGTTGAGACTTTTGCATTAAAAAGTGTCATGTGATATGTTTGCAGTTTGGTCTGTGTGCACACCTCCCCCCCTTGCCACCCTCCCCAAAGAAAAATGGGCATGGGAGTAGGCATGAAAACAAAAGTAATGAAGTTATGTGTGGCTATACATTTACTTTGGAAATGTTTTTAATGTCTCAGGTGGCAGAACCTTGCCTTATGCATGTGATCACAGGGATATTTTCTTTTAAGCGGTAAAATAAGTTAAGTGAATATCGCTTTTGTGAACTTTCACCTGTGCTGATCCTTGGCTTGCATTGTAACATGCAGCGCTTAGTGACACACTGTTAGCATTGGTGTTTCTGTACTTACTCATTTCTGTCTTTCAGGGACATTTGGGAAGTCTTTATGGAGGCCTCAGCTGGACTCTCTTTCAAGTTGTAGACAGCCAGCAAATTGTCAGCTAAAAACCTCCTATAATAATCCTCATGCCTCACTGGACTTCGATGCAGAGGCAGATGAAGATGGAAAGGAAAGGACAGTTCCTAGAGGAGAAAATAGCATTTACACTTACAAACAGTCCTTTGAAAACTTTAGGACTTCTACTTTCCAATCCTGTGATTTGGATACATAGCTCCTTTTGGATCTGCCATTGATTTCTGGAACAAAGAAATACTTTAACATACTACTACCTCAGTGTGGAATTTTATTTAAAAAGGGAAGAAGGAAAGGAAGGGAAGAAAGAAACCACGTGATGCTATGAATTCAGAACAAACAAACAAACGTATTTTTATTCAAATAAAGCATAATTGCCAAAGTGCTCTACACTTATACAGGGAAAACATTCCTTATAAAAATACTATATTTCTAATTATTTTATAGCTTTGTTTTATGCAAATAATATCTTTGTAAATTAATGGTGTAAATAATACAGCATATGTATTTCTATGTCAGACTTCATTTTACTGAAATGAGTAGTAAGCATTCTAATTTTGTACTGTTGTTTTGTACTGTTACTTGTACCTTTTTACAAATGGAAACTCCATGCTGTTTGCAGGTATCATGCATCTTATTTGCACATTACTTTTAATAAAATATGCTGCCATCTGGTCTCTGACCACCTTCAGTGTATGAAGAATGAAAAGTGTGAATTTTGTTTGTAGATAGTATTGCATATGTAGGTGCCTTCCGTGTCATGTTTGCACCTTTATTTGACTAAAACCCTTATCTTTAGATTTACTGTGTTAAATATATTCAGCTTCTAAGAGTGGGTGTAGTCCTGCCACAGCTATGAGTAAGGTGGCTTGAAGCTGTGCCAAAATAAGTATGCAAATCTTCCACTTTGTGAATTCCCACTATAAGATGTGTGTGCACATGGTCTCGGTTTTCTTGCACATGAGGCTGTAATACCAACAGTCTGCCCATGCCTGTGTGCAGGTAGTGTGCATGCATTTGGTGGAGGACATGCATAGTAGATGCATAAATCCATATCAAGCTATTTAGTAAAGAAGAGAAAAGGCACTGGGTATCTGCTCAGTAGCATCATTCTTTTCTAAGTGGCTTAGCGTTAAGTGTTTGCCAGATACACAGTGCATGCCTGAGTCTTTACTTTCCCATACCTTTTCTCCCCTTTTTGCTTCTGCAACCACTTCTGTACCCAACATGAGAAGGTAATCCAAGTACGTGATAATGTTCTCTTTGGTTTAACTTGTGCTTCTGTTCCTTACTCAGCCCTTTTCTGGTTATAGATGAGATCTGTGCTTTATTCAATTGCTCAGTCAAGTTGAGCAATTGTAAATTCATGCTGGATTAAATTTGCAGTAATGAACCCAATGCTTTTAACTATACAAAGTCAGACAAAGAGGATTGCTTACTATAAAATGGTAGCTAAGTGAAAACACTTTTGTTTATGTATAGATGCCTACTATTTTAAAAACCTGTGAATCCTGTTGTCTTCACTGCATTAAAACAGCAAGACTCCAAAATGGTTAATAAAACAGGACATTGGCTTTTTAAATCTGCCTACTTTGAAGGTGCAAACTTACATGGTTGCCAAATCACTTCTTTTAAACTAAATTAAAAACAGCTGTTTAGAATAGGCCATCACAGACATCATGACTGAAGCTAGAGCAAAGGTTTCTCTGCCTGGTGTAGCTGAGCTAAGGGCTTTTTGTTGTTTGTAGCCAGAAACCTGGTACCCAGATTGCAATGCAATTTCCCTTTAATTTAGGCGCCAGTATTAGAGACAGGAAGTTAATCCATCCTTAGTCACTGGTGGTCTAAGTGTAGAGAATGGATTTTGCGTGCTTTAGTTGATCATATTGCCAGATTTTCTTACTCTTATTGTTAATTTGTCTTCATTGCTGCCAGATGTGCTGATGTGGTGACAGACATTGATATGGTTTTTTGATTATAATTAAGTGCATTTTGAAAGAGATTAATTTTTCCTGAGTTAAGCACAAAGCCATAAGTTAATAAGGCAAGAACTCTTAAATTTGATTCACTCAATCTTTTCTGTGGGCCATGCAGGAGGTTTTAGTGAGTCCAGGAGCCTCCTGTAGAACTGCTCATGCCAGTAAGCTTATGAAGGTGTTAGAGCTGCCACTCTGTCAGCCCTTGAATGGGGCAGCTGTGCCATTTCCTGCAAGATGCAGTTTTGAGCTGGAGATATGTGGTGAGCTACTTGTCTGATGCTCAGTCTACATATAGCAGAATTGTCACTGACAAAGAGCCCTCCAGGTGGCAGGGAGAACTGCATCTGAAAAGATACGCACATTTTCCCCGGAAGTTTTAGAGGAGTTTTTGAAACTGCTTTGCAGAGTCATTGTGCTTCCAGACTCTTCAAAATAACCAGACTTGGTCCTTCATTTGACATCAGGAGTTCCCTCACTCTGTTTGTGACCTGCCTTAGTGCACATAGAAATATTTTGCAAACTATTGACTCGCAGACGAAAACCAGAGAGCTCATACAAAAAATTGTTTGATCTACTGGTACCACATAATTGTAACACATCCCCAAATGAGACTTTTTTTCAATAGTTTTTTAACAAGTGTGGCTCACTAGCAAAGCAATGAAGAAGCTACTATTTGTGTTAGGTGGTAGAAGACATATATAAACAAGCCAGCTTTTATAACTGAAACTAGCTACTCTCCTGGCTTAAAACAAACTGTACCTGTACTGCTACCTGCTGTGGGTGTGTACGCCAGCAGCGTTAAGAAAGCATCAGTGCTACAGCAGCCGACTGCCCAGAGCCTGGCTTCTGCCACATGCTGATCATATTATTTATTAGCATAAACTTCTTTCTCTATTAACCTTACCTCAGGAAAGGGGAAACATGGCCCCCCCATCATAATTAGCTTACACAGCCTTCCATGTAAGCTTAAGAATGGAAAGTGACAGGAGCAACTCACAGCAGCCTCGTATGTATTTGCTGTAAGCAGGGAAAAGTTAATCTGCTCTCAGATTTTGGCAAGGGGACAAAACCTATGTGTAAAATTGTACTTAGAATGAATTAAATTTCACGTAACTGTGACCACACAGTAGGTAAAGTAATAAAATGATGGCGATGATGGAAAATATGACTAATCATAAAGCTGTATTAAGTTAATGAATAAAATTATGCTTTAATGTAAACTGAGGGTCTTAAGTGCCTCATTTTAAAACGTGTTTGT